GAAGAAAAGCCTCTTCCACCGCTAGGCCAAGCCCTGGAATGCTACAACATGAATTCTTGATTTTCAGAGTGATGGTCTTTCAGGTAAGGCATCGCGGGGGTGACAGACGTGCATGGTGAGGTTCGAACCCAGGTGCGGAGGAAGGGGACAAGCCCCTCCCACCGCTAGGCCAGAACCTCACTTGCCAACAACATGAATTCTTGATTTTTAGAGTGATGGTCTTTTTGATCCTCTCGCTGCCATGGTCTATTAATCTTGTTTTGATGGGGCTTGCTGGCTTCTTATGTCAGAGGATTTGGAAACCAAGAAATGCTCTTGTTTTTCAATCCATTATATGGTCTAGTGCTCATATGTTGCTTATGGCCGCTAATTAGAAAATGGAATTTGATGAAGCTTTGCCTCATTGACCTACACAATCCAATGATGATCGATATGGCTCTGTTCTGCAATGGTCTCCCCCTCCAGTTGGCACGAAGGTGGTGGTGCTGGTATTGTTATCAAGAATCATTCATTCCATTTCCACCACATTTCTGATCTAACCACTACAGAAGCCTTGGCTCCTCAAGTGGCTGCTTCGATCCCTCGCTCTTGACAGGAATGATAACCAGATGATCTTCGAGGGTGAAGGTCTATCAGTCATTAATGTCATTCCTTGTATTCTTTCAATGATTCTATATGATGTTGTTTCTCTTGATAATTCTTTACTTGTATTTTCTCTTGGCTCCTGCAGAATTTATAGGAGCTCAGTCTCTCTCTTTCAATAATACCATCTCTCTTGGTCAATATATATTTACATATTTAAAGACCAAATTAGAATATTTCGGACGCAATGGGTTTCCTCAAAACCATACAATAGATGAACAATCACGCATCCCATTAACCCTTTTGTAATAAATATTCTAATTAATATATAGTTTATAGCTCATGGATACTTTCACTTTTTTCTTTTCTAATTCATTAAAGTATAATTAATCTGCCCATAATTAAGTAACCTGACATTTTGCCGAACTTTGTGTACCTTACTAATAGACGCAAAACAAGAACCGAAGTTTTGCGTAAGGTCCAAACACACTCCTCTCTCCCTCTTTCATTTTTCCCTATATATCGTCTTTCTTTTATTTATTTCTCAACAATTCCCCCTATATTCTTTCCTTTTATTGCCTTCTGATTTCATTAATCCAACGATAGGATGCCCACATAACCTACCCCCAGTGATCTCAACCGTTACATTAGCTTTGTGTTTCAGCAAGCTTTATACACACACACAAACACACACCCCTGTCCTCTTGCCATTTCCTTTGTCCAATTTGTCGATATATCTTAAGCATCTTTTTTATTTTCTCTGAACCGTCCACGGCCCGCGCCACCTTCCCTCCTTGGCATCCACGTTGTTTTCTCTTGGTGCCTCCGTTGCTACACCGGTCCTTCCTGATAATGGTAACTATAATGGGAGGCATTTATGCTGTGTCTTGTTTAGTTTTCATTCTATAGCCCAGTTGATGGTTTTAATTTTTCGGGTGCCAAACAATGCAGGAAATGCTGGTACCACCGTGGCTTGAATCACTATTATCGACTGCATTCTTCACCATTTGCCCCAGGCATAGAGATGCCCCACGTAGCGAATGCAACATGTTCTGCCTTGATTGCAATACCGAAGCCTTTTGCTTCTATTGCCGATCAACTCGACACAAAGATCATTCTGTTATTCAAGTAATTTATCTTTTCTTTTTTTGGAGAGTCATTCTTGTCTTAATAAGCATCTGATGAATATAACATCTCTGAAACGCATGGGGTCATGTAAAAACAGATCAGAAGGTCATCGTATCATGATGTTGTTAGGGTTGCTGAGATTCAAAAGGTTTTGGACATTACTGGAGTTCAAACTTACGTTATAAACAGTGCTAGAGTTCTTTTCCTTAATGAAAGACCACAGCCCAAGAGTAGCACTAGTAAAGGAGTCTCTCATTTATGCGAAATTTGTGGGAGAAGTCTTTTGGATCCCTTTCGTTTCTGTTCTCTAGGATGTAAGGTCAGTTAATTTCTTCCCATTTCTCTTCTCAGATTTCTACCGGCCCTCTCCTTCAAAAAAATAAAAATAAAAAAATGTACCTCATAGTCATTAGGACCCGACTCCAAGTTGTTCAAGACTCGCGATTCACTCGCCATAATCATTTATTATACCAAAATAGTTGCATCCCTTATTTGATTTCTGCCCTCTGCACACAAAATTATTTTCAAATTACTGCTACATTGTGGTTTTCAATGAGTGACATTGTGGTTGTATCAAGATTTCAGACTTGATGTGATGGTAATTTTGATAATCGATTATTGGTAGCCATCCGAGCTAGCTAGCTTAATTTATAAATTAGTTGTCAGAGCGTAGATGCTCTCGCGCCCTTAAAGGAAAGGAAATTATATCATCGGCATAATTGACATTGTATGATTTTTTTTTCTATTTACCAAATAGACTTTTTCCTGTTCTTGATGGGTTGGTTAATTTGCTTAGACAAGGGCTTAACCATAAGTTAACTTGGCATTGAATTCAGCTTGTAAGAATAAAGAACAATGGAGATGCCACCTTTAACTTGAGCACCAAGGACGAGGAAGGAGGGGAAATAAGAGAAGGAATGGGAAGAAGATTGCCATCAAAGGAAGAAGAAGAATTGCGTGAAGGAAGCCAACAAGATATGCACACAAGCACGCTAACTCCTCCACATTCCAATTCAAGGAGGAGAAAAGGCATCCCCCATAGGGCACCTTTTGGGTCCTAATTATTGACCAGCCTCCTCAATAAACTTCTTTTTAAGCTCTTCCATTCTTCACAAGCCAGCACATGCGGGAAGATAATATCTGAAAGACAAAATAGATTAATTTAAGGTGTATCTTATGGGCTGTGTTTTAAAGTTTTAACACAGAAATATAGTTGTAGTTTACATTTATTTATTTATTTATTATTATTTCTTCTGGGGGGGTCCAATAATAATGGTAGGATTAATGCTTGGGGATATGCAATGGTGTAGATGTTATGTATACACGCACGAACGGTTTTTTCACATAAAGTAACCAATTAACAACTCAGCCTTTTTAATTACAAGTTCATGAAACTTGCAAGAACACACGATTCTAGAAGCCAAAGAAAGGAATTTGGATAACGAAATACTTTCTTTGAAAAATATATTCCTTCCTTGAGTTTATCTCCAATATTTGTCCAAATTGGGAGCCGATCGATAGACGTTTTGACATCTATTGCGTCCATATCACATCAAACCAAAGCCATCATCAAGTGAAAGAGTTTAACACAGATATCATTGAATTATTCGGGTACATAAAAACAGCGGAAATAGAGTGTTAAAACTTAAAATTATTCGTGTAACAAAGAGTGCTTGTTGTAATTTATTTTTCCCTCATTTTTTTCATCGAATAATTTATTTTTTTAAATGCACCTCGTTTCCCATTTGCCTTCTTTAATCGTTTCAATAGATAAAAATTAAGAAAAGTTGCTCATCATTTATTTATAAAGATTGATGATATTTAGTAATAGGCTATATATATTTAGTAATAGGCTATATATATATATATATTGTTTTTCTAATTCTTTGTTTTTTAAATTTTTACATACAAAACTTAGAAGCCTTTATTATCATCTAATAAGACATGACTCCAATAAATAATTATTAAAGTGCTCATAAAAATAGCTTATTAAGAAACCATGTCATCAATATAACCCCTGCCCCCGAATTAATACCCTCAAATAAAATAAAAATGAGTATATCTTAGCTTTTGATGTTTTTTTTTTTGAAATGAAATAAATTTATATGAAAAAATTTATTGGTTGAATTTAAGTGAAGTTGGGGTGTTTAATGATTTTAATGGTATAAGTTTTCTAAAAATGTGAAGTTTTTTTGTACCTTTTATTTGTTAAATTCAAAATAATTATATTTTTCATGTTTTAGTTGTTTTCTTTTTATAGTGAATTTGTAAAAATTCCCAATAAATTAAAATTTAAGAAAAAAAAGTTATTATTGATTGAACTTAGATATTGAGAATTATAAGTAGAATGAAGGAAAATTGAAAGTTTTTGGTTTATTTCGAGATAGTTTGGACATTTAAAAACTAAAATAAAACTATGAAAATTTTAAAATAACCCTTTATTCTACCCTATTTTTCTTAAATAGCTAGAATGAAGATACAAAAATTAATTTAAAATTTGAATTAAATGAACTTAAATTTTAAATTGGGCTAATTGAATTGATTAGTTCCTTCCATAAAAATTATTGCTGTTTAGGAAGTCTCTTAGGTTGACTCTTACATGTCAATACTTGGTGGTTAGTTACATTTGAATTGCCTATGTGGTTGAGCTGATTTACAGTGTAATCTTCACTATTTATTCCAACCTTACCTCTCCTTCTTTATTTTTGAAATTTTAATGTCTTGCTTGAAAGGATATTATATCCTTCTCTTTCCATTCTCATTTTAAAATTTCTAGAAACACTACACCCTTTATATATAAAAAACTTTCCCTCAAGACGAGGGTAAATATCTTTAACCTAATCTTTTTCCATCCAAATCATATCTTTAATATTCAACCCTTATTATTGAACTAGTAACTCACATATGATCCTTTATCTAATGATCCTTTCTTTTTGATCTAGCACCTTATCAGGCTGTGATTAAAGTTTACCCTTTTAGTTAAAAGAGGGTGGCTTGGAAATTGGTTGTTCATTCTTCTCGATTAACTTATTGAGAAGATGGATATGAAAGATAAGATATATGCAAGAACCTTTAAGAGACTCTAATAGGTAAGATATCTTTCATACCCTTACATAGATTTTGAATGGTCTATAATACTTGTAGGCTAATTTCTATTTTCTTCCATGTTTTATGCTTAACTATTATAGATGGAGTTCAAGGTACATTACTTCTCTTTCTTTTAATTTTAATTCTATTTTTTTATTTGATTGAGTTATTTTCATGTTGTATGCCTTGTATAAATTAATCTTGACATTTGTTTTTAATAATGTTGTTCTACCTTTAAAATGCTCTTCCACTAATTGGTTTTATGTTAATAACATGAAGTATTTGAGTAAATCAGGTGGGTTTGCCCAATCATTAACTTAAAAGGAGTTATTTGAAGGAATGAGTAGAAGTTAATGTTGTGCCACCACTCTACTATGATTTACTATTTGACCACTCTCTAGGGTTGTCACCTGTAAACCAATGGAGGTAACCTTTCAATGTTTTCTTTCAATGTTTTCTTAGTAACTTCTATCTAGCCATCAATTTAGGGGTGATAGACAATAGATATGTGTAATTAACCCTTGGGACCCAAAATAGCTCATGCCAAGATTTACTAGTGAAAGTCAGGTCTTTCTTATTCATAATATTTTTGGGTAAACCATGTCATTTTATTATATTTTTGTGAGAAAACTTAAGACACCCTTGAAGTTGTGAAATGATGAGTCAAAGTTAAGAAATAAGAATATTTAAAAAGTCTTTTCACCACCATTAGGATCATACTATATGCATGGAAATTGATGACCATGGTTTCTCTAATATTAACAAAGTCTCTGGTAATCTCGATGACTTAGTTTTTTCTACCTTAGTTTGTTAACGTACCTCACACTATCTCATGTAGTCTTTTATTTAAGATTTCAAGCTTACCCAATATAAATCCCTTTAAGCTCACTTTAAGATTTTCTCATACCTTAAATGACTTATTATTGAATGTCATGTATGTATTGCATAATAATTGAATTAAAAGGAATTTCATTATGGATGTAGATTCTTCCTTTATACAACAAGACCCTCACCCTTCATTTGGTATCTAAGGCGCCTATAGTGTTACTTTTCATCTACTAAAATATTTGTTATACTTTTTTGTCCCAATAAGGTTGTAGTAGCTTACGATTCTCTAATAATTAACTCTTCAAATTTCATAGATTAATCATTAACCACCAGGTTTTCATTCACAAACTTATACTCTACTATGAAATCATACTAAACCAATTTTAAAATTCATGTTTGATGAACTGGTGCTCTTATTTTTTATTTTAATAGATACTTAAGACTCTGATGGTTTGTTTTGATTTGTATATATTAACCTAAAATGTAGGGTCTTTATTTTTGCTTTGTTATTATAATTGCAATAATCTCCTTTTCATCCTTCCTTTTAATACCCTTAATGAGTTAAGAGATAGGTCTACCATCTTGTATAAGTATTTCCCATAATGTCATCATAAGTAGATGCCCTAAATAAAATATGTAAATACTTCATAAGACTTTTAACTTGTAAATAACTCTAATCTCTTTAATTTCTTAAAACCAAGCTTTAACTTTCCTTTTTGTATGAAAATTGACCATGAATAACCTATGTTGAGGGTTGATGTTATAATAGTTGAAGGACTAGTTAGAACTACACACTTGCCCTTTTGGGTCTTCCCTATTAAATTATAAAAAAATCCAAATTCATTGTCTTTAGTTTAATTTGATAATCTCAAGGTAAATTAACTTTATGTTGGTGGTTCTGATTAATCAAAGTCAATAATACCTTAACCTTTTTCCTTGGGGTTTCAAGATTTGATCCATCTAGGTTGATATAAATTATAGTTTTTATACAAGATCTTGTAGATTCAATTATTGTGTTAATTGATTTTATTGTTTCTCTTTTTATTGTTTATTCACACTAGCAACAATTTCTAATAATTATGACATACTTGTCCTCGTAACAATTAGTAGAAATTAAAATTTAAGAAAAAAAAGTTATTATTGTTTGAATTAGAAATTAAAAATTATAAGGACTAGAATGAAATACATTTAAAAGTTTTTGGACTATTTTCAGGTGATTTAGGCCTTCAAAAAATAAAATAAAAACCTAGAATTTCCAAGATAACTCCTTGTTCTAACTTAGTTTTTTAAAATAAACAAAAATAAGGATAAAAAGATTAATTTAAATTTTGAATTGAACCAACTTGAATTTTAAATTGGGTTAATTAGTTCCTTCCATAAAAAACAATATCGTATAAGAAGTTTATTGGGCTACCTTTTATGTGTCAATACTTGATGGTTGATTATGTTTGCATTGTCTATATGATTAAGTTAACTTGTCGTGCAATCTTTAATGTTCATTCTAACCTACCCTAACTTTACCTTTTTTTTTTCTTTTTCTTGTAATTAAGTGTCTTGTATGGAGGGATGTTTTCTTATTCTCCTACCATTTTCAATAAAAAATGTCCAAAATCACTGCATATTTTATAGAGTTAATTGATAAACTATTTATAGATAAACTAAAGTTTACATAATAAAAAAATTATTTGTCCCTAATTTTTTTATAACAAAAATAGATTAAATCAACTCATTCATTAATGGAATACCAAGAGAGTAATTGATATAGAGTAAGATTTTAGATAAAAATTTATATAGAAAAAGGAGTTTATATAATCCTAATTAATTGTGTAGTTTCTGAGTAAACTTAGCACTTAGCGACTTAAAGTATTTATATAGCTCAATCACTTAAGTTTACCTTGTACAAATTGGATAAATAATATAGAGCTACCTTATAGTGAAAATGAGTTGTTGGTTGTTTTATCATTATTGGATAGATTATCACTCACTATTGATTATGGTGTTTCGCTAAACTATTAACAGAGAGGTGAGTGGTTGGTAAGAACCCTTTAAAGTTATATGTAGATATTAGTGAGGAAAGGTGATATTGTATTAACAACTCATATATAAGCATCAATCATTATGGCATAAAACTAAATTTACTAGAGGTTATAATTCTGTCTTGAGGCATATACTAGTAACTAAAAATTTATATGGCACTAAGTCAAGTTTTAAATATCTTTTCAAGGTTGGATCATGACATAAGTGAACATGGTCAATTTGTTTAGGCTACGTAAATGGATTGCGTACTTTGATTAGACTACCTAAATAAACAATTATTTTTTTATAGTATCATCATTTTTTCCACCAAGCCTTTCAAACATTTACATATGAAAAACTTAACTGGTGGAAGTAAAAAGGAATTAAAAATTATGTATGTTATGTTATCTTTTTATGGCTTTCGTTAACATGCCATGATGAATGTTA